TCATAGAGGTACGAGCGACCTCCATGACCAAGCCAATGCGGCGCTCAGCAACCCCATTCTGCTGCGGAGAGGCCGGAAGCGTGAAAGTCTGGCGGATGCCGTGCTCCGCACAGAAGGCTGCCAAGAGGTCTGAGGAGAACTCACCACCTCTGTCAGAGTGCAGACGCAGGACAGGAAAGTCCGACTGGAGCCGCTCGCGGAGCTGGAGACGAGTAGCGCGAATCCAGGGGATCAAAACATTAGGGACATCCGCCTTGCGCTGCAAGGGGAAGACTGTGGTGTAGCACGTGTAGTCGTCGACAACCAGCAGGAAGTACCGCTCGTGGCCCTGTCCACGGACGCGGGCTGGGCCCCACACGTCCAGGTGGAGAGTCTGCAGTGGAGCCTCTGTGGGAGGGAACGAGGAGGAGTGAGGAGCGGCGCGCTGCCGCCCCTCGACGCAAGGAATGCAGGGCGGCGCAGGCGAGGAGGGAGGGCAGGCAGAGACCTTGGAAGACCAGAGACCAGAAAGCGAGAGTGCATGCTACGAAGGGGAGGCAGGGAGGGGTGGCCCAGGTGGTGGTGCCACAGGAGAGTGTCGTGCAACAGCCGGCGACACTCACACTGGGTAGTTGCCTGAGCAGACGTGTGCAGCTGGGGAGACAAAAGGGTGGAGCGCGACGCAGTGGTGAGGGTGTACTGACTGGACCCTGGCGCACGGGTGAACGTGGCCAGGTGGCGGCCGGTCTGGGAGCACGTGCAGATCGCCACACGCTGCCGGCCAGGGGTGAAGGTGTCAACACCCGCATCCTGGAGGACAGCGTTGCTCACCAAGTTCGTAGAGAACGAGGGGAGGTGGAGACCAGACAGCTCACCAGACGGGACCGCCGGACACGGAAGCACAGTGGAAGACCGTGCAAGCACTGGGGCCCCAGAGGGGTCAGCCAGGGAGACAGGAACAGGTGCAGGGAGGGGAGTGACTGTGGTACTGTCGCGAAAGAAGCAGCGGGAAGCACCAGAGTCAAGTGTAAAGGTGTGCAAGGCCTGTGCAGGCGCAGTACCAAGGGGAGCAGACTCACAAGAACCTAGTGCTGCAGGGACTATACTAGGGGCTATACCAGGATCCGGCGGCACACACAAGTAGCAGTCACCCTCAGCACTAACAGTCAATGCATACATAGCAGCAAGAATTGCCTCATTGTCAAGATCAAAGATAGGTACATCACGCCTAAGCAGGTCTGCCCAGTTGGGGAACTCAGTAGCATCAGGAAACTTGGCTCGCCAGGCGTCACTCAGCCGAGCGAAGCAGCGCTGCTCATTGTGAAACCCTGTGCAGTGGCGACCAGTGCGGGGACCTGTGCGAATGATATAGGGGCAGCGACCAGGACCCCCAGAAGCCCCATGCCCGGCATACCAGTCAAGAAGCTGCTGGGAAGTGGGGGTCTGGCGCTGACGCTGCTGCTGCTGCTGCGACTGCTGCTGGCCCGGACCACCACTGCCACCACCGCTCCCCCCTCCCCCACTGCTGCCGCTGCCACCTCCACCACCTCCACCCCCACGACCACCCCCTCCACCTCCACCTCCCCTGCCGCCTGCACCACCGCCACCTCCACCTCCACCCCCACCTCCCCTGCCACCCTTGCCGCCCCTGCCGCTGCGACGCTTCCCACTAGGAGCGGAAGCAGCCCCGACCTCCTCAGCACCAAGGTAGTCGTGAGCAGCAGCTGCGGAGGCGTAGGAGGGGGTGAGAGGGGAGGGGGAGCACCCCTCAAAGAGGGGAGAGCGCGGAGTACCACGAGCAGCACCTACAGCGAGGATGTTCTTCTCTGCTGCTAGGAGGTGCTTCTCGAAGTCGTCGACAGTGAGAGTGGGGGGGTCGAGCGCGAGGAAGTGGTCCCTGACTGAGCTAAGAGTGTCAGGGAGGCGGGTGACGAGGAAATAGAGAGTGAAGTACATCGGGGGGGGGGGGTTTGCGGCGCAGAACTCGGCTGAAAGGGCGGCACGAAAGCGAGTGTCAGTGGCGCGCAGGTGGGAAATGAGGTCCTCAGCAGTGGTGAACAAGGAATGGTCGGGGAACAGGTAAGGTAGCATGAGTCGACCTATGGCTGCAGTGGCCGGGGAGGAGTAGCGTGCAACTACAGCGTCGTACAGTGTCTTAGCAGTTTTGTGCTGGCTGAAATGCGCGCGCTCAGTAATCGGCAGGTGGTTCCTAATAGCGAGGCGTGCAGCAGCATCGCGAGTCTGCCACTGTGAGCGTTCGAGAGCAGGAGAATCGGCAGCAGGAGCAACGGCAGTGCCAGATACATAATCGAACAGGGAAACGCCCTCTTTGGCATCGGTCAGAAGGAACAGCTGGAGATCGTCAAACCACACAGCGAACTCTATGGGGCGACCGTCAGGCTCGAACGCTAGAACGTTAGGCGTCGTCATAATGGCTCCAGGCAGAGGCAGGAGGCAGCAAGCAGCAGACAAGAGGCAGCAGGCACCAGGCCACAAGCAAAGGCAGAGGCAGCAGGCAGCAGGCAGGAGGCAGCAGGCAGCAGTCAGCAGGCAGGAGCGGCCGCACGCTAGCCCCTAAAGCAGCACGCTAAGCAGTAGCGGGCCGCGCAGGCGGCCGACGCGACGCGCGGTGCAGCGGCGGGCCGCGCTGGCGACAGACACGGCGCGCGGGGCGACGGCGGGCTGCACGCGGCGGTGAGCTGCGCGGGCTCGACGCGAGCTGCGCGGGCGACGCGGGCCAGCGCGCGGCGCTGCAGCAGTGGCGCGCTCGCTGAAAACAGTGACGCGCGCGCTAACAGCCGAGGCGCGCGCGAAAAAAAAGATGATGCGCGCTGCAGCCGAGGCGCGCGCGGGCAGTAGGCAAGACAGTTAGGTGGGCCCGATTCTTAGGTCCTAGAGACCTCCTGCTCTAGTTACCATGTTGAGACTAAGTCATAGGGGAATGGTTGATTAGGTCAAGATTGGGGTACAAGACTAGAGTGTCGAGATTGTTTGTGTACCCTTTAAGGCTAACCCCAATATAGCCTAGATAATAACAAGCATATCTTTTGACATGCCCCACTCAGCCGTAGTGAATGTGAGCTCTGAGTGAGCCGGGACCGCCGAAACCCATGCACTAGCCCCCAGGCCCTGAAGGGATGTGAAACGTGCCAGGGTGGCATTGTCACGAGTTGAGCGGCGCAGTGCCTGGAGCTCCTCTACAGCCAACTGCCGCTGCCGCGCCTGGAAAAGCCGAAGAGGCGGGGCCGCTACACACAGAGGTAAGCCCGGCCTCTCCTGGCGTATAGTCGCAAGCAGCTGCTCAAGAGCCTTGGCAAACCACGGGTCAAGAAACTCCGCCCCTGCCGAAGTGGTGAGGTAATCTGCAAACATCGCCTCCTCGCCCGCCACCCCCAACTATGCAATATCACCCGCGGCCTGCGCCCACCCACAAACATAGGACACCGGGCTCAAAGAGGCCGCCGCCCGGATCCCAAACCCCCCGAGTCGCACAGGGAGATGCAGCTGCATGCGTGCGCGCCTAGACCGGTCGGGGTCCTGCTCCCAAGTGCCAGGTGGGAAAAGCTGCTCAAAGCAATCCTCCAAAAAGCTATCCCAATCTCTGAAGGCCTCCACCACCTCCGGACGCGGCGGCATAGTCCGGGCCAGGTACATTGGCCGCGCTGAAACTGCAATGGCGAGGAGATGTGAAGCCACCTGGGGGTGGTCGAGCAGGGGGAGCCATGGCAATGGCGCCTGCAATTGTCGAAGTTGCTCCAGTAACCGGACCACCTCCCAATCCTCCTCCCCAATAGGCACGCCTACCATAGTGAGACCCTCCTCCACCCGCTGCATCCCCAAAGGCAGTGCCCGCTCCATATCCCCGTCTTCGCTCTCCCAAAACCGGCACTTGTGCGCCTGCACCTCCAGCCCCACCCACTCCTATCGCTCCCGCAGAACCCCAAAAGCCTCTAGAATCCTAGCCGCTGGTCCCAAGATATAGGTATCGTCTGCATAACTCAGGAAAAGTAGGTCCATGAACTCTCTAGTCACCGACTCCATCGCCTGCTGCTGCGTGAACGCGAAAAGAAAAGGGCCGAGCGGGTCCCCCTGCCGCGATCCTCATGCCGAATCAAGGCTCTGTACGGAAGGGCCCGCTCGGAGGTACAGGTCGCTAGGTGTCCCATAGAAAACACGCAAGAATGGGATTGACCCCGAGAAAGGCGACTCCCGCAGCCCCTCAAACATCGCATGATGGTGGAACGAATTGAAGGCGTTCGCGATGTCTATCTACAGCACACACCAGTCGGGGTGAGTGGCCAACGCTGACCGGAAAGAATGAGTAAGAATCTCCACCCTGGCCCTAGTGCCCGCACCCAGCTGGTTGCACGACAGAAAGTAGGAAGCCATCGCAGGGCGGAGCGAGATGCAAAGAGCTCGAGCAAGGATACGCGGAAGCACCTCCTCAATCGCCACCGGCCGGACGTCACCGTTAGGCTTGGAAAGCCCAACTAGGTTGGATGCGGCGAGCCAGGGCCGAGCCTGCTCGGGGACCTGTCCCGCCACCCATTGGTTGAACACTTCCAGCAGGTGGGAAAGGCAGGAAGGTTCAGTGAGGAAGGTGTCGCGCAGATGCTCTGTGACCCACCTCGATGGCCCTGCTGCTGAAGCGCGAGCAGTTGTATGGATAGCTCTGGCCAGGATGTTGGTCGTGAGTGGAGGCTGCTGGGGAGCATCGACGGTGAAATCACGGACCCACTGTGGTACCTCGCCAGTGCTAGCATGGTGCTTCTCTCGCAGCGACTATACCATGGCCTCAGACGGTCGAGCCCGTAAGGCAAGCCAAACCACGGCTCCACTCTCCCACTTCACACCAAGATCGGCACCGTGACAGGCGGATGGCATCCGGGTCCTGGTCAGAGCAAGTGTAGGCTAGTGGGCGAACCGCTAGCCGCGCTGCCACCATGGCAGAGTCGAACAGCTCCCGCCACCTCCCCTCCCAGAACGCCGCCAACCGCTCTATGATCAGCGCCTTCTGACCTATGCCTGGCTTGGGAGGCACGGCTAGGATGAGGCGCGGAAACGCCAAGAGTAGGAGGGTAGCGGCTTCATCCCCCGGTCGGCTCTTCAAAAGCTTTAAGATGCAACAGAGCGCGTCTAAGACCCCCGACCGGGCCCGCTGTGGGATCCGCCGCACTGTCCTCCCTCCAACCGCCTCCACACTGAAAAATGCTTCCCATTCCCATGATGTAACCCCGGCCCACGCCTCGTCCCCAAATTCCCGCGGCGTCGGCCACTCCTGCGTGTCGGTCTCTGACTCCGCAGTCGCCATGGGGGTATCAAACTCCAAAAGTCAGCTCCACTCCTCCAACTGCTGCTCCTGGTCGTCCATCGGCTGCCCCCTTGGCTGCTGCGCTTTCTGGGGTGTTCCGGTCACTCCCGGCTGCCCCCCTGGCTGCTGCGCTCCCTGGGGTGCTCCGGTCACCCCGGCTGCCCCCCTGGCTGCTGCGCTCCCTGGGGTGCTCCGGTCACCCCCGGCTGCCCCCCTGGCTCTGTGCTCCCTGGGGTGCTCCGGTCACCCCCGGCTGCCCCCCTGGCTGCTGCGCTCCCTGGGGTGCTCCGGTCACCCCCGGCTGCCCCCCTGGCTGCTGCGCTCCCCGGGGTGCTCCGGTCACCCCCGGCTGCTCCCCTGGCTGCTGCGCTCCCCGGGGTGCTCCGGTCACCCCCGGCTGCCCCCCTGGCTGCTGCTCTCCCTGGGGTGCTCCGGTCACCCCCGGCTGCCCCCCTGGCTGCTGCTCTCCCTGGGGTGCTCCGGTCACCCCCGGCTGCCCCCCTGGCTGCTGCGCTCCCCGGAGTGCTCCGGTCACCCCCGGCTGCCCCCCTGGCCGCTGCGCTCCCTGGGGTGCTACCCCCGGCTGCCCCCCTGGCTGCTGCTCTCCCTGGGGTGCTCCGGTCACCCCCGGCTGGCCCCCAGCCCTCTGCCCTCCCTATCGTCGCCCCCTTCGGTGCCGTGCCCGCGGCCTTTCCGCTTGGCCCGTGCCGCCCGGGCTAGTGACCCCCTGCTGATCCTACACCTGCAATTCCTGCGACTCACTCATCGGCAACCCCTGTTGTACGCTTCCAGGCAAGGGCTGGTTCCCCTCATGACACCCTTACCGCCGCCCTGCCTGCGACTGTGGTTGATTCCGTATTTGACTCCCCTCCTGCACGCCTACCGGCAGCTCCCCTCGCACCTCCTCTTGTGGCTCCTCCATCTCCACCTCCAGCTCCTGCAGCTCTTGCTGCCCCCCGGCCTGCAGCTCCTGCTGCCCCCCTGCCTGCAGCTCTTGCTGCTCCCCGGCCTGCAGCTCCTGCTGCCCCCCAACCTTTTCCAGAATATTGCTCTATATTCATCCATTTTTATTGCAGCTACCTCTTTTTTTTGTAGCAACTCCCCATATTATGTACTAAAGCATTCCCAAACCTCGATTGGAACCATGACAATAGCCCAACATATGTGGAACTTTGTGAAACTGTATGTGAATGTATAATTCATGTTGATTGCATTTGCAATTTACGATTGCAGCATCCATGTGCTTTGAGAATGTATACCATAGTATCCACAGCCACCACTCTCCACCAACACTTGGGTGCAACAATAGGTCAGGAGGAGCCAAAAACGTAAAGCGTCACACCACCAAGCCTATGGACCCTCATCCCAACTTCACCATCAGGCACGGCAGCTCAGCAGGACCACACTGACCCCTGTGGCCAGGCAAGATGCGCCACGGACACCGAATCGCGCGAGATGTCAAAATGCTTATCAACATTCAACACATGAGAGTGGTAGCAATTGTGAAGAATTGAGATAAGGACAAAAGAGTATGATTGCACACTAGAATACGACAAGAATGAACAGTAGAACTGTAGCATATGTGGATGAGCTTGATGGAAGAGAAGATGATGCTTAGAGTTTGTGACTATAAAGAGAAACTTGTGTAAGATGGAATGCTTGATGAGATAAGAACTTAAAATATAAGAAGAGTGTGAGCTTGTTGAGACAATAAGAGAGGTGATAGTTGAAGAGGTAACTTGAGAGAAGAGCTTGAACTTGTTTGCTTTACTTGGGAGTGACTTCAAGCCTTGTGTTGGATGATGGTCCTTCCTTTATCTTGTAGCTTGAAGCTTCCTTATACTCTAGTAGAGTATGAGGTAAGCGTTTTTTCACTTGATATCTACGTTGTAGACTAGGTAGGAGAGAACTTTATGAGCATAAACTTATATTAAAAAGGGTATAGTACAAGCCTTATACATCCATGAGGGATTCATAGGCATGCATAGAAAGAGTAACCATCAATGGTAGCCTTGGAAGAGAGTTGCATGAGATTATCAAATTTTGGAGGCATAGAACTTGAGTGTTTAGCAAGGATTCTTTGTAGTAGAATGAACTTGAGGAGCTTGAAGGAGAAGCTTGGAGAGGAGCTTGAAGAAGAAGCTTGAGAAGCATTGTTGTCATTGAAGAAGCTTCTTGAGAAGTTGGGTAGATTCTTGTTGGATATGAATAGTGGTGGAGCATGTGGTGGAGCATGTGACTTGGGAAGGAATGAGCGGAGGGGATAGGTGAGATTTGATGCCTTGGAGGAGGTGAGGAAGAAATCATGAGGTCCTTAGGAGTGAGGTGGGATCTTTGGTGAGTTGGGAGAGGAAGGAAGGAAGTAATAAATAAGAGGCATGTGGAGGTTGATGACCAGGAAGTGGAGGCATGTGCTTGAAGGCACATGGGAGGAGGATAATTGGAGGAAGTAGATGACTTGGGTAATCTTTAATGAGTAGGAAGGGAAAGCACATGGAAAATCATGAGGAGCTATGTGCCTTATGGTGGGGCTTGGAGCTGAATAGGAGAGTTGGTTGAAGACTTGGTTGAGTTGAATTAGGAAGGGTTATAGTGGTTGGGAATAGTTCAGGAGAAGTTGGTTGACTTAGGTTGGAGAAGGTGAGTTGGAAGTAGAAGTCTTGGAAGTTGGGTAATTTGAGTGGGTTTGGAGGAGTTGGGTAACTTTGGGAAGGTAGGAAGGAAAGTTACGAGGGCATTTGAGGGGAAGGGGTTGGAGTGGCAAGTTGGTGTGGCACGTGACGAGCGTGCCATTCATAACACTCCCCCTCACTGCAAGCCCATGCCCTCAAATCCAGCGGCTGGGACTAACCCAGCTTGAACACGGTTGTTGATGAAGATGTCGCGTGCAACGACCTTGGTGAGGAAATCCGCCGCTTGCTCAATCGTGTGGCAAAACAGAGGCTCAACGATTTTCTGCTCCACAAGCTCTCGAACGTAGTGATACTGCGTCGCGATGTGCTTGGTCCTCCCATGGAAGACTGGGTTCTTGGTGAGAGCGATCGTCGACGTGATGTCGATGAAGATGGGAGTAGGGCTCTCTTGTGGGAGGTCAAGCTCCTTCAAAAGACCTCTTATCCACAATGCTTCTCGAGCTCCTTGGGTTGCAGCCATGTACTCTGCCTCCGTGGTTGATAAAGCCACACAACTCTGCTTCTTTGACTGCCAAGAGATGGCTGCCCCTCCAAGCATGAAGATGCATCCTCCAGTAGACCTGCGGGTAGGGATATCCCCAGCCCAATTTGCATCCGTGAAGCCATACAACATGCTTGCACCATCAAACCCTTGAAAGAGGAGACCAAAGGAAGAGGATGATTTGAGATAGAGCAAGGCACGAAGTGCCCCATGCTGGTGCATGCGAGTGGGTGATGTCATGCATTGGGAGAGCATGGCGTCAGTATGGGCTAGATCAGGACGGGTGCAAATGGAGGCGTACATAAGGCTGCTCACTTGGCTCTGGTAGAGTGAGAGCTCAAGGGGTGTGATGTGGGATGTGGACTGTGGTGCATAGGTGTCATGACCAATGTCCTCAGGAGGCTCAAGGCTCTCGACCTCACCCTCAAGCTCAGTGACCTCTGACTCAACGGTGGAAGGGTCAATGATTTGCTCGTGCGAGCTCAGCGTGAAGTCTAAGGGGAGTGGGGTCTCAACTGGGTTGCAGTCAAGGAGACCAAACCTTGAAAGGACCTTCTCAGTGTACCTCTGCTGTGAGATGAAAAGTGACTTGGTGGTGCGGTACCTCACGATGTTCATACCAAGGTAGTGTGAGGGCTCACCCATGTCTGTCGTGATGAAGTATTGGGTGAGCATACCTTTGATGCGTGTGAGGAGACTCAAGGATGCTGACACAATGAGAATGTCGTCCACATAGACTAGGAGCCACAGGGACTCCCCCTCACTTGTGCATAGGATGTACAGTGCTGCATCGAACTATGACTTGGTGAAACCTTGGGTGAGGAGTGATACCTCAAGGGTGTGGAACAGACTCGTGGTGCTTGCTTTAGTCTATAGAGGGACTTAAGCACCTTGCAGACGTTGGTGGTACCATCGGAGTAACCTTCAGGCTGTACCATGTAGATCTCTTCGTCAAGCTTACCATAGAGAAAGACGTTCTTCACATCCATTTGATGGATGTGGAGATCCTTCACTGTGGCCATTACCAGGAGGCACTTGACAGTGGTGTACTTGGCTACAGAAGAGAAGGTCTCTGTGTAGTCCGTGCTTGGCATCTGTGAGAAACCTTTGGCTACCAGGCATGCCTTGAATCGGTCCAGTGTACCATCTCCCTTCACTTTCATTCGGTATGTCCACTTAACCTTCAGTGCTCTCTTACCAGGAGGGAGTGGTGCCAAGACCCATGTACCTTGTGCAAGGAGGCTGTTAATCTCATCTCTCTCTGCCTTTATCCACTCTGCTCTCTCAGCGCTTGCCAGTGCCTGCTTGCGAGTGGATGGCTCAGGTGGGAGGCAACTGATGGCGTGACACATGGCGACTACCTTGCAGTCCATGCAGTGAGGATTGGTGCACTTGGCTGTGACTGGGAAGCATGTACCGACTGCGAGGTTCATGCGCTGCAATGGCTTGCATGCTCGCGTGGGACGCTGTGAATGCTCGGTGATACCTTTGTGGCTCGTGTTACCATCTGGGATGGTTGGAGGTGTAGGAGGCGTTGTTGTCTCAAGAACATCATTCGGTGGTTGAACGGGTTGGAGAGGCTCGTCTGCTGCGACAGGGACGACTGTTGAAGTGTTGACCGGAGGTGAAGATGTAGACGGTATGGTTGAAGGCGGCTTCTCTGCGGCAAGGTGCTGCTTGGGTGTGAACTCTCGTGTTGAGGGTTGCTCGATCGAGGGCTGGAGTGTACGTCGCTCGCGGGTCAACACCAATGGTAGGGAGGAAGGTGGGGAGGAAGTTGCCGCCGTGGTTGGTGGCACCTCCACCACGTCGTCGTCGCTATCCTTGTTCTCTCCCCCTCCATTCCCGGCTTCCTTTTCCACTTGCGGTGGAACCTCGATCGCTTCATCTTCCTCTCGTGCGGGAAGGACGACGGTGAGTTGCGGCGTTGGTTGTTCCTTCGTCGGGAACTTGTCTTCGTCAAAGACCACGTCCCGAGACGTGACGACGCGCTTGTCACCCAAGTCCCACACTCGCCACGCACGCTAGTTTGCCGCAATTCCCAAGTAGATCGCCGCACGAGCCTTTGGTTGCAACTTGTGGCGAAGGGGGTCCGGTACATGGTAGTAGCAAAGACACCCGAAGGTGCGTAGGCGGGATAGGTTCAGCTTCGTTCCGGTCCATGCTTCGAACGGAGTCGTTCCCGGGAGCACCTTCGTCGGCAAACGGTTGCGAATCCACGCCGCTAACGAACTCGCCTCACCCCACCACTCCCTCCCAAGCTTGGAGTGTTGAAGAAGTGAACGAATGGCTTCCACCATCGTGCGATCAAGCCACTCCGCCGCTCCATTTTGTTGGGGTGTGTAGGGTGTTATGACATCGTCTTGATCCGCTTCTTATCGTCGTCGCAAACTTGGAGCGCCCACTCTTGAATCACCTCGGCCGCATCGCCCTTTGCCTTCAAGAGTCGGGTCCAACACATGCGTCATCGAGCATCACCAAGAGGAACCGCGCTCCTCCTTTTGATGCATGCCGCATCGGTCCACACACGTCCATGTGAACAAGCG